AGCGCGCGCTGGAGCAGGCTCCTGGCAGGACCTGTGGCCCTGGGGGGATAGGAGCCCAGGCTGGAGCAGGTTTGCTGGCAGAACTGCAACCTGTGGGAAGGACTCATGTTGGAGAAGTTTGTGGAGGACTGTCTGCTGTGGGAGGGACCCCACAGTGGAACAGGGGAAGAGTGTGAGAAGGAAGGAACGGAGGAGACAAAGACCACAACCCCCATTCCTCGTCCCTCCACACCACTAAGTGGGGAGGGAGGTAGAAGTGCTGGGAGTGAAGTTAGTCTGGGAAGAAGGGTGGATCAGGGGGAAGGTGATTTTAGTTTTGCTTTCAACTCTCACTATCCTACTCTGTTATTAAATGGCAATAAATTGAATTAATTTCCCTAAGTTGAGTCTGTTTTGCCTGTGACGGTAACTGGTGAGTGATCTCCCTGTCCTTACCTTGACCCATGATCTTTTCCATCATATTTTCTCCCCTACCCTATTGGGGGGCAGGGGGAGCAGGGAGAAAGAGCGTCTTGGTGAGCACCTGTCAGCCAGCCAAGGTTAACCCACCACAAAAAATCAACAATCAAAATATTTCCTTCCACTCAGATCATTCACAGATGCATCTTGAACCTACTTCTGATATGTGGGCCTGGCTAGCCCGACCTACCAGTGCCTCATACCAATCTCAATTCTCTGGCTACTCTACCAGGAAAGCCCTGACATGGTCACTGATGTATCTCCCCCCTAAAAACAGACATCCACAAAGGAAACAAGACTAGGTATGCTGCAGGTCTATAGCCAGAATATGATCTTCACCTGTTCCTACAGCAGCCTCCCTGGAGCCGTTCCCCAGCAAGGCATGACCCCAGGGCTGCTCCTCTGCCTGCAGACAGATTAGCTTCAGAAATGTGAAGGGCAGATCTAGGGGAGACTCACGAGATCAGCGCAGAATCTGCACCACTGCCTCAGGGCTGGGTCACTCCTCCTGTTCCTGAGACTAAACAGTACCCACAGCCACTTGCCTGCTTTATCTACTGCATTGCTCAGGCTGTCTTAAGTCCAGGCAGGCAAGAACCTTCTGCTCAAGACATAAGCAAAGTCACCAGGCAAACAGCAGCTGCTCTGGTCCCTGGCTGTAGGTTCAGGCTATTGTTCATGCCTGCCCTCCACTGCAGCAGGCTTGTGGCAGCTAGTCTCAGCTCTGTTTCAAGGGCAGCATGTCAGGGCCTTCTGTCCTGCCCGAGATCCCCAAAGCAGCAGCAAAAGGCACTGGCTCCGGGTATGCAAGGGACAGGCTGAACTGCATGGAGGCTGACAGTACCCTCTGCTGGCAATAGTGAAAATGCCAGCCTGACAGGTGACCACTGGCTGACAGGGTTCAGCAACACCCCATCAAAGAGTCCCCCTCTGCAAACAGCCCTGCAGCCCACCTGAGCTCACCCATCTGTCTAACCTCAGCTCCAGCAAAAAGCATCCTGGACCTGATACTCAGGTAATCTCTCACTGAAGATATGTGTCCTTACCCAGTCCATACTCCACGGACTCCGGATGGTCATCATCCCCCTCCTCACTGACCTTCTGCAGGTGCTGCAGGTAGGCATCCGTATGGAAGCTTGCCATTTCCTCCATGGAGGCCACTTTTGGCTTGACTATCCTAGGCAGAGAGGAGGAAGGGAGCACGTCAGGACAAGAGGCTCCAGGGTTTGGCTGGAACGCCCAGCTTTAACTTCCTCAGATTAGGAGCCTTCTTTTGGCAGCTACTGTTGAAAAAGCAAATAAAACCCCCTCCTCCTCTTGCACCAGACTGTCACTTTGAGTGAGAAAGCTGCTCAGCTGCGCTGGAGTAGGCCTTTCCCCCATCTTGGCACTGTCTGCTGTGCCCACCCCAACAAGGGACGTCTGCAGGTGCTGCCTGCATTAACCTTTCCACTTTGCCTCAAGTTTTTTCCCTTTTCTGTACGTTCTCCCAGTTTCAGCAATCTCTAGCAGATTCAACATTCTGGTTACACACAGAGGCGGCAACAACAGAGTGAAAACATCCAGGTCCAGCCCAGTGCTGTGGCAGGACATCAGCCTGCTGGGTCAAGAGCTGAGCAGCACCTCTTACATGCTCTTAACTCCGCCTGCATTCAAAGCAGAGACCGTCTCTGTCTTTAGCAACTCACATATCACCTTTCCTGCGTTTGGGCGCTTTGTGATCTGCCTAAATAAATCTTGCGACACCCTGAAGCCCTCTCCAAACCTCAGATTCTGGGGGTGCACACTGGCAACGCAGTACAGCTCCATTGCTGCTAGAAGAATGCAAGAAGCTCCCAGCTCCAGGCTAGCCCAGGTGCCGGGCTCTTCTCACCCCATGCCAGGGTGAACAGCCCTTTGGGTCTGCCTCTGTAATGGTACCTGCAGCCATTTTCCAAGCACACTCTAACAAAACGACCAGAAAGAAAAGAATCCTTTGAAATAAGTCCCAACAGGGCTTTCTGGCCCTGCCGAACTGGAGTGTGGGATTTTTTTAAGATTTTATGAGGTGCTACATAAGAGAAGCTGAGTTAAGCCTCTTCTTTCCCTTCATATCCCCCAGTGTCAAAAGCCTGATGGGGCAGGAGAGTTCTCACTCTTCTGCCTTAGACCTCATCTTATCTTCTCTCCTGAACAGTGCCAAAACCTCACAAAAAATCTCCAAGTCAATCACAACATAGCAAAACAACATGGTCCCTCTCAGCACCAGCACCAGCCAGTGGATTAGGAGCAGTGACAACAAGGATGGTTTCTACGTCATCACTTCTGCTCAGAGCCATAAGAGCAGTGCATGACAGCATGGAAGCCGGGAAGGTTAATCATAAGTTACACCTGCCAAAATTACCATAATCTTGCCCATTCAGCAAAACAAGCAGACTTTCCTTAGATCCCAGAAGTATGCACAATGCCTGAGCTCCTATAATCACGCTACCAGCAGGGACAGTTTAAGACCTGCAGTTACTCGGTATATTCCAGACCTAGCAGAGAAGAAAATATTTTCTTCACAGAAAGTGGGAGCACTTACGTCATCTGGTCAAGTAAGGAATATGCTTCAATCAATGAATGCACCATACTGGCCTAAAGAAAGAAGAGTACGACCATGAGAGCAGCTCTAGCATAGGTGACAGAAGCACAGCAACCGGGGGCTAAATGACTTGCAGCAGAGGTGTAACTGTGACCTCTCCCAGCAGCACAGCTAAACCGGCACCTGCCTGAGCAGGCTCCCTGGACAGGGTCTCCCCCACGGAGGGTGCGCAGCACAGCAAGGTGCATGGGGGGAATCCCGGTGTGTCAGGAAAAGGCACAGCTCCGCACGGCTTCGCGGGGCAGAGGCGCCGGGGAAGCGCCACTTCTGTGTCCCGGCCACCCGCTGCCGCCCTGCCGGAGGCGGTGC